CGGTATTTGTACTAATTCCTTTGTCCTTGTATGTTAGTGATCGAAAGTGTTTTGTTCTTTTTATCATTTCTGTTCTGATGTTTCGTGTGTGTTTAGTGAATTTGAGTTTGTGGTCGATTGTAATCCCAAGGTACCTTACGTCGTTTTTCGGTTGTGTTATTTTTCAGTTATTGTGGGGTTATTGCAGTTATGTTAATTTTTTATGGTTTGGGGTGCTACTTGATTCCATTCACCCATGCTTTCCACTTTAAAATTTTGTGGTTATTCTGCACCGTTTGTAGCGATGGGTGGTTGACTTACTCTGATGACCTCTGTGTTTGTCCATGACGATTGTACGTGATATATTTTGTACTGTTTTATTATAATTTTTAATTTTTTACCACTGTTGACTGTACTGTACGTAGTTTATGTTGTAGTATTTAGTTTTGCTTTTGTTTACTCGCTTTGTCCATAAAATTTGTGAATTTTTCCGTCTCAATAAAGCATATTTTGATTTGATTTGAAAGCAATTGCAGGCTTCAACGCCGTCTTAACAAGATTAGATCTAGTCCAATGTTTAATCGATTTTAGCTGGGGCTAAACTGTGCAATGTAATTGAAAGTTTTCTCTTAAGCCGCCTCGCAAGTCTGTTTAGATCTGTCCAAGGCATTTGATAGTCTCGATAGAAACATTTTGTTGAAAAACTTGGACATGCATGAGTGACTTGTTCTTCAAACTGAAAAAGTGGTTTGGATTTGCAAGATGAACACTTAAGTGCTTCTTTTAAATCTCGAAGTTGTGAGCAAACTTTCAAATTGCAAATGAAGGTTTCAACAGTCTTTTTTGGGTAAAGTGTTGCAATTTTTTCATTTGCAATGCGCACGAATGGAAATGTGTATGCTCGATTGAAAGCACAATTAAGCTCTACACATTTTATAACACCATTCAACTTTTGAATTAAATCAGCTGGAACTAGTAGATTTTTGTAGATTTGGTCGTAAACCTTGAAAATGGTAGATAGTAGGCTTTCTTTAGTTTAGATGGTCATTCGCATACTCGGAAATCCCATACAGAGTGTTCATTTGGTATTCCGGCATTCAAAGTGAATTTTTATGTTTATAATTAAGCATCGTTTTTTTGCTGGAAGTGGAACGTCTTTTTTTGATCGGGCATTTTTATGAAAACCGTTCAATTAGCAATCAATGAATCAATTTAACCAACATTAATTCTTGCAAATTAGCAATTAATCTTCCTGCCAACAGATTTGGGTTTTTAAATTCGGAATGTAAACAGTAGTTTTGGTGTTTTCAAGAACCCTAAATTTGAAGTCGAAGTACTGAAATGAAAGGTTTTGTGTATTTTTCGCTGAAATGAAAAGAAAAATTGCAAGTTGACAAATTCTTCGCTTCGTCGCGACCCAACTTTGCTACCAAATGTGTGGTTTTCATTCACTAAATAATTACTTTAAACACTTAAACGTCGAGAGGTTGTAAGAAAACGAAATATTGATAATCAAGCTTCCAACAGTGTTGAGATTGATGAATAACTTCTATGATTCTAACGTGATGTGCAACTTTTTCATTTGCAATGAACAGAAATAAAAATTTGTGTGCGCAATTGAAAGTCCAATTAAAAGCCACATACTTTATCAGACTATTGAATTTTTCCGCTAAATGAATAACTGAACATTAGCCATTCTGTTGAGTCGAAACGAAAAAAACAGATATAAATAATCGAACTAACAATGTCAAAAGCCACAAAAGGCTTTCCAATTCACCCACAAAGTTCATTTTTTTATATCCCTGCCATTTGGCAAGTGGCCTCAAAAGCAACATCAGAATGTCTCAGAACCATTGTTGGTTTATTGGTTTATTCCAGGTGGAAATGCCCCGATTTTTCTGCTCAGCAGCGGAGATTCCGGGGGCCATTTGATCATTCAAACGTCTTCAGAACAGGCCGCTGCCGCGCCTCAAAGAGTGCTCAATGCCGATAGTCTGCTGAAGGAAACGAACTCAACTTTAGAAGTCGCCTCGGATAATGAAGCAGGATGCAGCAGCAGCAGCAGAACAGCGCCCATTGGATCAGGTGAGTCTCACTTTTGTGCCATTTGTTTAAAAGTTTTCTTACTGCAAGCGCGCTCTATCCGTCCGCTGGTTTTACTCCCTTTCGACTCTTTGCATCTTGCCAAAATGGGGGTCATAAATTGCGCGCAGGGAATTATTGGTTCCACTATATTAACATAAAAGTGCTCTCAGTCGATCGGAAGGAAAAACATTTATTGCAAACGGGGTTCTTTTATTAAATCCCGACATCTATCAGATTGGCCATAAGACGGGATTTAGTTAGGCGTCTAGTGCACCTAACTGCATTTTGGAACTGTCTCTGTCCGGGCTAAATTGGAAAATACCGGGGATGGGACAAAAGAGGCGATTTCCAAGTAAAAACGCAATTTTTTTGCTATCAAACCAGAGGAATTTGCTTGTTCCCGGTACTTCAAACAAGGCGAAACAGACTGAAACCGTTCACAATTTTTTTCATTCTTACTTGCGAACTTTGAGGTTTGAAGAACGTGGTTAATTGGCATCTGGATGGCGGCATCATGAAGTTGGCTTAGAACCGGCCATTTGAAACAACATATTTAACAAGCATGAAAACCTGATCGATTAGTCGTTGAATTTTTCTGTTTGTTAATGGCAAATTGATTATTTAACAGCAAAAGAGATGGGAGCTTTTGAAAGAGAATTTTCCAGAGCGAGAATATAACAAATCCTTTTAGGACTTAGTGGTGGTGTAGATTCACGCATAAACTTTCCGAAAAGTTCCGGTAGCTTCCGCATTTCGATTCCAACCACCTGACAATGATATAAAAACCTCATATCTATAAAGGAAAAGTCTATATTCGTAAAGATTGGCCCGCGATCAGCAAACCTTTTCGATAGAGACGTTGACACAGCATTGTACTTGGATAATATCCATTCCCGGCATAATGTAACGTTCAGCTCCACAAAAGGATATTTCCCTATCGGACGTAACTCACCATTAAAATATTCAAATGGATTTCTTGCTTTTTATTGCCGCACTTCCCTACCGAATCCGTTCGGAGGGCTTTCATATCACTATTATGTTTATTACGTTTTGCCAATTTCGTTCACATGATCAGAAGTGTTTAGTGTTTCTCTATCGAGACAAAAAGCTCGTAACTCATTTAATCAGAAATTATTGAAAAAATCTGGCATCAGCAATCCTGCAAGCAAAAGCTTGAGTTTTTCTGTGCATATAGAAACCTTCTGAATTAATTCAGAAAAAATATGAGCAAAATCGGACAGAACAAGGACTGTTCAGAAATTCCTAGACTTGAAGATCAAAAGCAATTTTTGTCGTCAATAATGCTCTCTTTTTTGTGGGTGTAGAAGGTTTTCGAATGTAGTTCAGACAAATTTTAGTAAATTCAGAGAGGAAATGGCCTGTCCAAAAATTCCCAAACTTGAACATGAAATCGAAAAAAACAGATTTTTTGCAAGTGGAATCCTGTAGGATTGTCCTGTGGATGCAGCAAGCTTTCGAACTTATTACGGACGAATTACAGTAAAAACAGACATACTTTCCAGAAATTACTCACTTTAATATGAAAAGCAGTAAAATAGCGGTAACATGAAAATCCTGTTGTCAACAATCCTGCAAGAAAAAACTTGATTTTTGTGTGGATACAGAATCGATTCTAGTGTATCCAAGAGAAATTTTACTTAAATCAGACAGGATACTGGCCGTCCAAAAATTGCCAAACTTGAGGATAGAAAGCAGCAAGAACGCGACAGTTTAAAAAATTTTTATCCTCAAAAAGCCTGCGAGTTTTCACCCAATTTATCTTTAGTTGATATAGAAGCTTTTTGCCGGTATCGACGAAAAATTGAAGTAAAATTATACAGGGAGAGAGAGTGTTGATAAATTCCTGGATATAAAGACAAAAATCAGGATAAGCTGTAGCTTTCAAAAATGCAAACCCTCAACTCTCCTGCAACTGAGAGTTTGAGTTTTTTCATGTGAATACGGAAACCATCCTGTAATACCTGCGAGACATTTGACTTAAATCCGACGGGACACGCATTGTCCAGAAATTTCCAAACTTGAGAATAAATTGACTTGAAGACTGACCAAGACTTGAAGATGAAGAGCAGTCAAAACGTGGCATTTTTCATAATTTTTTTACTGCAACAGTCCTGCGAGTTGTCGTTTGAGTTTTTTCCTGTGAATACACAAAGCTTTCGCATAAATTCATGCAAAATTTCAGTTTAATCGCATCAGAGAAAAATTGCTCGAAAATTCCCAAATTTGGTGATAACAAGGTAGAAAAACGTCGATGTTAAATCGCGAAATTAAAAAAAAAATTCTTCCAATAGCAGCTCAATTTTCCCCCGTTGATACAAAAGTTGTTCAAATTTATCCAAAGGAAATTCAATAGGCAATTAACTGTTCGAAAATAAAAAATAAAAGAATTGAAATTGAATGGTGAAAAAGTAAAATTGGTAAAACTGTCTAGAAATTCTCAAAATTGGTCATATGACCTGGTCAAAAATGATTAAAATTCCCTTAGGTGATTATAAAAATGTGATCATTCCTATTCTATTGCACATGATCTTAACGGGCATTTAGTGCGTTTTTATTCGGCGGAAAACTAATGAAAAACGCAGCATAAATTTGTAAAGTGGTTAAAATGCTTATTTACTATCCATTGTCAATTTATCGTGTTCCACTGGTCGCTGATTCGTTTTAAAATCAGCCTGGATCCCTCAGCTAAGCGCAAATTGACCGTGTAATATCCGGTGCTTTTTGTTTCCGGTCAGGCCCCAATTTTTTCCAGCTTTGCTTGTTTATGCCGTTTTCTGACCGGGGCAGGTTTTCGTAAATATTTGGTTCGGAAATCGGCATTTTTAATATGAACACCGAACTTCATATTATGCTGCTGGGAAACATGCTTTGATGGCTTGGCAGATGGATATATATTCCATGCAAATTTTGTTGATATAAATTCATGATTCGCGATTTTTCATACGATGAAACAATTTTCGGGCGCGTCTAAGACAACAGGATTTAAACACCATTATTTAAGGACGCTCGTCCTTGCTAACGATGAAATATGGCCCCTGCAAGGATGTAATGGATATATTTTGCACGATTTATTTGCAACTTTGAGGAATATCTTAATTTGTAAATACTGCATATAATAAAGGACCGATCATTTGGTGAAAGCCCGAAATGCGAAACGCCGTTATTTATTAGCCCTGGTAATAGAAAATTGCCGGTTTACTACCAGCAAGATTGGTCGAATAAATCGTGTCAATTATCAAAAATCCGAAATTTTGTGGTGGAATAATTGCCAAAATGCCCAAGTAGGAACCACGCGAAGTCGCCTTAAATGAGCCAGTATTTTATATCTTCTGTATATCCAAATTGAATATAAATTGTTACTTTCGTCGGCAAACGGAAAGCCTATAAATAATTTCAGTTGAATTAATGAAATATTATGCAACCGTATTTCAGCCTGTTTCATGTTTTCTTACCAAATCGGATACAGAATTCATAAAATACAACTCTATTTGCATAATTTTGCAATGGAACAGATATTAGGCTACGGGTTTCCTGTGGAATGACAGATTTGTGTTGGGAAATTTACAAATAATTTCTTGAAAAAACCTACTGCAAACGCAATACTTCCCTAAATCCATCACATTACCTTCTATACGTTTCTTATGAACAGAGCATAAGATAAGTTCGTCGTCAGAAATTATTCGACTTCTGAACTCATTTTTCACTTGAAATGTTGAGTTCTCCTTGCGATGATTTTGACCCTCGTTTGACCCTCATGATTCAGTTGTTTTTAGCAAAATATGCATTTGCCGGTGAACCAGAGCGTTCTTTTTAAAATATTTGTTTTTTTCAATCTATAATCATCATCGTTTTTTCAGTTCATATTAGTTTGGATCCATTGACTGCCAAAAAGGAAAACGTGGATTTAATCTGGAATTTTTCCAACGCGTCTGTACACTTTATATTTATCACTTTTTTCTTAGTTCTTATTTTCTGTAGCTTTCTGCCCATGCTTTCATGTTGCTGCTAGTTTGCGCTAAGTGAATGCTTGCAAATTGTTAAACAGTAAATCCCCAAACAGTGACACAGTTAGTTGAGCGATAAATCCCAAACGAAATTTCCTGGAGCCATAAACAAAACAAAAATTAAATCATGGAAAGTACTAAATATTCGGAAAGAGATAATAAATTCGGCCTTTGTGTCAAGATAGACATTAATAACGGTTTTAAAATTTTTAAAGGGTAGTTGTTCTTATTTTAACCAGGTAAATATTTGTGAGTCACGAACGAACACTCTAAAATGATGGAAGATGGAACTTTGACGACATTAAAATTTAGCTTTGCCTTGACTAATCCGGTGCTTTCTTCGGTGGGAGTTACTTCATGGCTAAAGTTTTTAATTGGCTGAATTTTACGATCCAACTCATGTCTGAGTTGTTTTGTTGTGTTCTTCGGCATGGTTGGAGTTTCACTGAACTCCAAACATTAGGAAAATGTTGACATTATACAAAAAAAAACATTAGAGAGAGAGAATTATGAGAATCTCTATATGAACCGCTGAAACTATAGGAAATAAATCCAAATAATAAAGTGTTAAAGTTTGGCCAGTGGTTTTAATTAATTGGGAATCTGCAAGCGAAAAAAGCAGGTAGTTTTGGACCAAAAGCCGGAATTATAGTCGAACTAGCGTAAAACTGCCATCAAATTTGCATCTTATATCGTTCAAAACAACTCAATTTGTCATAAAAGGGTTTATGAGTCGAGCGACTATCTCGACAAATCGAACCAAAGTGAAAACATCGGAAAAAATCAGTAAAATCGAATAAATTCTTCACGCAGTTAAGGAAAAAAATCCCCAAAGTGGTGGAAAATATTTGAAAATGCACAATCTCCCCCATCGCCCCTGTTCAGGTATTCAGAGCACTTCTTTAATATTCACTAAAAAGAAAGAAAAGAAAGTAATGTAGTCATTAAGATTTATTTTTTGGGGGCGGTCGAAGC